CGCTCCCCCCACCGCCTCCCGGCCGCCGCCGCCTCCGCGTCCCCGCCCGCCCTCTCTTATCGCGGCGGCTGCGGGGAGGCGATTAATTATGGATGGGAGCCGCGGCGGGCGGGGGGACGGAGGGGGCGGCCCGCCGGCCCGCTGCGGGTGGCGGGGGCAGAGCGCGACCCCCGGCGAGGCTCGGGGGCGGCGGGGCTGGCCAGCCCGCCCTCCCACCCGCGTGGTGCGGGGGGGCCGCACGCCGCCCTCCGGCCGGCTCCCCACCGGTGGGCACGGCGAGGGGCGCGCAGCTGGGGCAGGGGGTGGCGGTGGTTTGAACACCCCCCGCGGCTTCCGTTGCCGAGGGCTGCCGCTTGTTCCTGTCTTCTCTCCCCCTCTTTATTTTATTTATTTCTTTCTTAGCGCTTGCGCTCGCCAGGAGGCCGGCGAGCCGCCGCGCATCGCTGCGACTGCGTTGCGGTGTGTCGGCGGTTCTGATGCAGCCAGTGGACCGAGCGCCCCGCGCCGCGCTGCCCGGCGCGAGTCCTCCGTGCCCGCGGAGGCGGTGGTCCCCAGCACCCCTCTTTGTTCAGTGCACCGCCGGTGAATCCCGTGGGATTGCGCCCCGCCGGGCCACGCACGTCGCTCCGTGGGCGGCGGGGCTCGGGGGACGACAGCCCAGGGCGGCCGGCTCGGGGCGCCCCGTCCGGGAGCGCCTGCAGCGCCGGGAGTGGAAGCCGGTTCAGGGGTGGTGCCGCCAGTTGCCCTGGCAGAGGGTGGCCCGGCGACTCCTCGGGGAGCGCCCGGGGTGGCCTTCTGAAGGAGAGGTTGGAACCTCAGCCTCGGAGCGGGGGAGCGGAGGGCCATGCCTGTGCTGGCAGCCAGGCGCCCGACGGGGAGGGGGTCTTGAGGAAGGCTCTTCCTCGCCAGTCTCTTTCCTTCCAGGAAGCCGTAGCCTCCAGCTTCCCCTTTTTCCCCATCTGCCGTGCACACGCCAGCCTGGATGGGTATTTTTAGCCGGCGCCACTGATTAGCATTCAGGGGAGCAAGCCAGAGAATGAAAGCAGTTTTCCAAGCCGTTTTCTCTTCCATCAGGGCAAATGCACCTGTTGGTGGCAGGAGAGGGTGTGTGGCATTATCCAGTGTTTAGCTTTCTCCAGAGATGCGACCTTGCCCCCTCTATCCCTCTAACAGGCCCTGTTGGCACCTCCTTGAGGAGCACCAGCACCCTGCTGCAATCCTGGGCAGATGGGCACAGGTCTCTGTTGCAGTAGCTGCTCCTCCCCGAGAGAAGTTTCTGGGCCCTGTGTGGGGCAATAGTCCTCCCACTTGGTGGGAGGCTGTCCCACCTGGAGGCCAGCTGTCTATGGCTGCATGTTCCAAAAGTATCATGGGCTCCAAAGAGGCATGTCATCCTGCCACTTGGGGCCACACAGACAGGGGAATTTTGCTCCCTCCCTTCTGTTCACAGAGGTCCCATGGAGCACTGATTGTGTGAAGAAACAAAACAATCCTGACCAACCGTCTTGTGTCCCTCCAAAAAGAGGTGGCCTGGTATGCCCTCCACAGTCATCATCATCTCCTCCTCTTCCCAGGCTGTTCCTGACTCCTGAGGATTGGGGTGTGTTAGTCTGCTGATCTGTGGCCATGTGAAGATTTTACTGTAGGATCTGTGACTTCTGCTCTGCTTGTGTTGAGTGCCTGGGCTGCTGGAGAGAATCTTCAGGTTTCTGGAAAAGAACTCGCCTGTGTCCCTATGACTCCTAAAAGAGTAGATAGAGGGCACACAGGATTTTACAAAATATTGCAGGTACTTCCTGAAGTCTCCACTGAACATCAAAACATTGCCTCAGAAAGAACATGTAAGCTCTCAATCCAGCTGTCAATCCAGAGGACCCTGCTAGACGCACTCTGTGTGTGTGTGTGTGTGTGTAGGCAGAAGAGGTGTAGTTAGTGGAAAGTAAACACTTAATGAACTAATTATATGTAGAATGGGCAAAGTGCCTTAGTGCCTGACACACAACATAAACCTACATATGAGGGAAATGTGTGATTAGTATAATTTGGTTGTTACTGTCAAGAGCTTAAAAAAAAAGGAACTATTTATTGTGAATAATGAGAATATTCATTTAACACTAAATAAATACAACCTTGAGGAGAGCTCTAAGCCTTTATGCACCAAATTATTAATCAGTATTAGTTAGAGTAGAAAAAGCAATCCTTGCACTGGGGGCAAATTGTTCTGTACAAAGAATTTCCTATGTTTCTTTCCTCTGTCCTATTTTGGCAACTGCTGGAAATAGGGGCAGCAAGGCTTCTCCAGCATGGTCCTTCATGTGTTCCTACAGGTGTCTCAGTCTTCCTCATCTTGACATTCAGTCTTCCTCATCTTGAATGTCATCTTATAAAGAAAGGACCTTTTCTTCCCTGTGTTTGTGACAGAAGACTCATCTTTGATAGCTGTGCATTGTGAGAGGCCAGGCTAACACACAAGTTTAATCATGTCATTAGTAATTCTGTTACACCTTTTTATTCATCCTGTAGAGCAACTTGCTGCTGTTAGGATTTTCCAAGCCTTGCCTGTTTTTCTCCAAAATGCCTCTTTGGCTTCCAAGTACCATGTTCAATATGCAAAGCCAGAAGTTTCACTACCAACATATTTCACCACATGTTATTTATTATTCATAAACTTCCTGTGTTTCAGTGTCACTCTGAGTTAGCCCAGTTTTTCATAGGGCTATTTACAGCTTTGCACTATGACACATTTTCAGTAAGAGGATACTTTATAAACACACACATACACACAGAGCATGGCCATTAGCATATCCTGCACATTGAAGTTCAACTGTCTTTGGATAAGATGTCTGAAAACATCATAATGATGTTGTTACATTAGTAATAATAGACATAAAACTCTAAAACAGATCTATAGTCTTACATTGAATAATTTGTTGATGATTGAGTTGGAATTACTGCAGAAAAAGGAATGACCTACCAGTCTAAATAAAGGTCATTGAAGAGTTCTCTGGATCCCAAAGGATAGTGCTGATCACCTCTACTAGCCCTAGCTAGCAGCCCCTTCACATAAGGGTTAGGATGCCCATTTGTGTGTTTATAGCTGATCTGTGTGTTTCTAACTGGTCAGCCAGGTCTGCTTGCTGAAAATAGAGTATCTGTGTTCAACTAAAGATGACAGAACTTCAAGCCACTGGCCCACTGATTTAGTCTGTCACCTAAATGAATCACTGCAGGTGGATTCATCTGCCAGCTTCAGTTAATACCAAAGTCATAACCTGATGGAACTGTGCTACAGCTGATGACTGTAAAGTATGGTAGGTGCCACAAGTTTTGAGTCTTTGGCTGTTTTACGGCTAAGCTTTGTTAGTCATGTTTTCCTTTTTAATTGCCCAACCCAAAATTTCCCATACTTGTTTTCAAGGGTTATTTTGGTGGACTTCAGAACAGATGGAATAAGGTTTTGTGGGACAACACTAGCCTGGAACACATGTTCCAAACAATCTCTTCATAATCATAGAGTGGGCTCTCTGTGAGTTACAGGGGGAGTAATTTTTGGCCAGATCCTGCCTGAAAGAGAGGTAGGGACTATTTGGTCCAAGGTTTTGTTGAGTTCACAGGGGAGCTGAGGGAGCTGTGCTTGTTGGGTCCCTAGTAGGGAACAGGCACTGCCATGACCAGCGAAGCAGGCTTGCTTTGCTCAGTGTACACAGAGCTGGATGTTTGCAGTAACGTGCAGATCAGCCTCTTAATTTTTTTTGTGGTGACTCACTGGCGCAAAGGACAACAGAGCTATTAATTGTTTGCACTCTAGGCTTGAAGCTAAATGTGTGTTTGTAAAATAGATGGAGATCTTTAGCTTATGCCACCAAAGTGCAAAGCATTGCGTTATCGTCTGCCTCTCCTCCCACACTGCATTTATGGTAAGATACATGTGTTGTTATTTTTATGCCAGTTTGATAAATGGTTGTCATAGGTTTGACTATTCAGTCATGATGGCTGTGTAACCTCCCATAACTTATTCTGTTTCTGACTACCTTTTTTTTCTTTTCTATTGCTATAGGGGACATTGTGGACTATAAAATCTCTTTGCAAAAATTGTTCTGCACATAGTTACTAAGAATAAATTGGAAATTAAAAATTTGAAACTCTGAAGGTGGAATCTATCATGTGTCTTTCTAGTTCTTCGTCGCTTCCATTTGCAAGGTCCACCAACATGTTTCTGTGTGCTTAAGGCCTGCTGTTCTCTAGTTTTCACAGTATTTTATGTGGAAGACTCATCTCTGCAGGAGATGTATGGAGAACACATTATGGGAAAGGATCTAGATCAAGTAGACAAGTCTGGACCTAACTGGTGGCTGGGCACTGATGAAAACCCAACATTTAGAGGTGCTGCTTTAATGGGTGACATTTAAAATAGGAAGAAATGAGGAAGAGAGGTTGGGAAGAAAATGTAAGGACTTAAGAAAGAGTAAGCAAATCCTATGCTAGAAGCTGGACACGTGGTTTTCTTGGCAGCTGTTAGCACTAGGAGTTTTGGAATAAGGGAAGAAAGGTTTGAGAAATCAAGGGTATAGACACAAGTTCATTTGCACTCTAA